TGCGGGAGCGGCTGCCAGGGGTCCCCGGGGAGCCGGGGCTGCTGTAGCCACTGCGGTCCCCCGACTTTCCAGGTTCACCTGGGAAGGAAGGGAGTGAGGTCAGGATTCAGGGAGCGGCAGTTATGAGGGCCTCTCAGACCCGCGTGCAGAGTCGGGGCCAGACAAGCAGGGGGAGCAGCCGCAGGAGAAGGGCCTGGAGGACTCCCTCCTCCCTGCCGTGCTGCTTAGCAACTGAGACACCCCGTTTTCCAGGAACGCTAGAGAGTTCATCAAGGGCCTCCCTTCGTCAAGACGGCCCAGCCCAGGGCCCTGGGATCGGGGAGGGCTGAACGAGCCGAGGGGTCTTGGGTGAGCTGCTTCCCCTCTCTGACCTCAGGGCCCTCAGGGACTCCGAAGTTAAGGATACAACCGAGGACCTCTGGTGACTTAATGGGAAGGAGTTGTGCTGCCAACCCAAAGGCAGGTGGTTCGAATTCACCAGATGCTCCTTCCATGCAATCGATTTACAGGCTCTGAAAACCCACTGCAAGCTTATTTATGAGTCTGTTCCGACAGAGGGCACACAGCAATGATACACCCCGGGAGGGAAGCTCCAGGCAGTGACTCTGTGAACTCCAGCCGATCTAAGCTGCCTTTACTCAGAATGCTGGTTCCAGAAGAAAGGCGCCCCTCACTGCCCCCACAGCTTACCCACAGGGCATTGTCACTGTTCAGACAGTTCAAGGCCCCTTCCCTGCTGGACCCCTGATCAGACACCCTGTCCCCTCTTTTGGTGCTGGTCCAGGAGGGCCTGCCTGCCTGCTCCATGAGTTAAGTAACTGTCTCCAGACAGGCCACACTGTTTAATGTCGTTGTGTCTGGCCCTGCTGTCCCCTCCCCGGGAGCTTCCTTCCTCTGTGCCAGTGCAGACAAATACCCACACACCCTGCTAAGCACAGTGCCGGTGCCACGCTGCCAGGGAGGCTGGGGAGTCTGCGCTGCAATGGCACGTACTCCTCGGGGCGTCCTCTGCCCCTCCCCACATCTCTATTATGATCCTGCGGGGGTCACACTGGTTACATCGGCATCTCCAGTGGAGGGGCCTACAACACGAGTTTTCTCCAAAACGGCGGGGACTCCGGGGGGGCACATTCAAGTGAGAACAGCTGGACTAGATGCTGGGCTGGCTCAGAAAGCCTGCGCATCGAGTTTCACTGGTGACCTCTGAGCTTCCCACGGTCCAAAACCACCTATAATAAATGTGGAGCTGCTGGACCTCCATCTGGAGAAGGGCCTGCTCTCTGCACAGAGTCCACTTCTCCTGTAGGGTGGATACTGAGCCTCGTGGTTTGAACGTTTGAACTTGCATGTCTACCAGGTCTTCCATGTCTACTGGGTATTCCCAAGGGACGAATGGCAGGCTTTCTCCACTGTGTCTGCCTTTGTTCTTGGCCCTTATTTTGGCCTCGGCAGGTGGCACACACTGGCCTGGGGGTGTCGTGATGGCTTCAAACCCTTTCTGTATCACCTGATTGACAAGGGTGTCACTTAACCTCTTGCCTTCTCATCTGGAAAATGGGGAGGGTGTGAGTACCCCACAGGGTTCTGTCTGGAAGACGGGATGCAGTCACAGTGAGGCATCCAGCACATCTCCCACTCAGGATGGAGGCTTACTCAAGGCCAGTGGGAATTTCTGATGGGAAATTCCCCCAAAGATCTTTTAAAGGCTTAAGCCCCTGTGCCTGACAATGTGAACACATTTGGAAACAGGGTCTCTGCAGATGTCATCATTTAGGATGAGGTCATAGGTGGAGTGGGGTGGGGGTAGGGGTCCTTAATAAAGAGGAGAGATGGCAAAGAAGACAGCCACTGGCAGATGGAGGCAAATGAGTGAGGAACAAACAGAGAACACTCAGACTACTGGAGGCTGGGGGACAGTGGGGACCTTGCCCTCCTCGAGCCGCTGGAAAGAAGATGGCCCTTCGGACACCCTGACTTCAGACTTCTTTCCTTTGGAAGTGGGACGTTTGGTTTCTGCCCTTCCTGCCAGCACCCTCTTTGTTATAGCAGCCCCAGTAATGAATACACACGAGAAAGCCTTGGTTAGGATCAATCCAAACCCCCAAGGTCACAGTGATCAACATGCAGTCCCCATTTCCGCCCCACGAGCCCTTGGCCAGGCCCTTGACCCAGAGTTAGTGAGCACATGTGGTATTAGGGACCGTCTGCAGCATCTGTACAAACCACACCTGCGAGGAGAGCAGGAATTCTGGCTGCTCCTTCGGGCTCCGTGGGGAACCTACATTTCAGAAGCAGGCACTCCCAGCTTGCAAAAGCCGACAGGCTATATAACACACACAAAGGGGCCTCCCCTGTGGGGAGAAGCAGGCTGGGAATTACCTCGCTCCAATTTTTCCCCTCCAGGGGGTGGTTTTCTCTGAACTTTCTTAGAAGCTTAAAAAGAAAGAAAGAAAGAAAAAAATTCACAGAAAGTCTCATTAAAATCAAGCTGACACCAGGCCTCACGGAGGGCCTCTGCATGTGCTGGTGGCAGTGGCGGTGGCCAGCCACACAAGGCCTGGCCCTGGTGAGCCAGGCAGGGAGCGGGGCCCACGGGAGAAGAAACGACGTGGTGGGAGGGGAGAGCAGAGAAGACAAGACCACAGGAGCCAAAAGGTGGAAACACCTCAGATGCCCCTCAAGACAAACAGAGGCACACAATGTGGCCTATTCACATGACAGAATTTTATCCATAAAGAGAAATGCCATGATGTGAAAGCGTTATGCAGAGTGGAAGAGGGAGACACAGAGACTCAGATCACTGGATGATCCCAAGGCCAGTGAACTGAGGCCAAAGCTTAGGGGGGGGGGAGGGGGAGTGGGAAGTTACACCTGAAGGGGTATTGAGTTTTAGTTAAGGTGAGAAGATAAATTGGAAACAGCAGTGCTGTGATGGCTGCACGCACAATGGACGTTCTGAATGTCACTGCACTGGGCACGTGAAGTCGCTGAAACACCAAATGTTTTGTTTTCCAGGTACACCCCGGAACTACGGCGGGCGTGGTTCTGGACCACCGAGATGAAGTAAGCATGCAATACAGTGGTGGTGTTGTTATGTGCCATTATAACAACCATATGTACAACAGCTCTGAACCCTGCTCTATCCTGAGCCAACCTTATTGTCTCTGACACAGCTACCCCCATTACCACAGTCACTGAGTCAATCCATCTCATCCTGTGCTGTCCTTCCACCCTCCCAAGCATGATTCCCTCTCCAAGTGAGTGTCATGAATTACTTTTGGTTTCCTAGGGCACAGAGAAGGGAGCTCTGGTGGCCTAGTGGTAACGAGCTGTGCTGCAATCCCAAAGGCACAGGGTTAGAATCCACCATCTGCTCTGTGGGAGAAGGCTGGCCAGTCTTCTGTGAGATTTACTGTGTCTGAAAACCTGCTGGAGGGTCAGCTATGTGGTGGCTCAGACTTGATGATACACAAAAACAACACCACCACCCAGGAAACTGATATTTACACTATACTGTAGCCTGGTAAAGGAACCCTGGTGGCCTGTTAGGTCTGTTAATCAAAAGGCTGGTGGTTAAAATCCACTAGCTGATCCAAGGGAGAAAAATGAGGTAAAGATTTACAGCCTTGGAAACCCGATGGGTGGCTGCCACGGGTTGAAATCAACTTGACAGCTGTGGGATTTGGGTTTCAGGATCTACTAAGTGTGCAAACAGCACAATAAAGAAGTTGGAAAGCGTGTGAGAATGACTACGTTGTGACAGAGGCGTGAAGGAGCACATGCTGCTGGGAAATGGCGCCAAGAGATGCCAACAGGGTCTAACTTAACCATCAAACCTTTTGTTGGTGAAAAAATGCAGTCCTGTGATGCACAACAAAGTGTTGTTGTTGTTGTTGTTGTGTACAATCTAGTTGGAACCGACCCACAGCTGACTCTCTGGCATATTTTCAGAGGAAGTTAATCGCACAGGAGGAGATGGCCCATTCTCCCCCAATGGAGCAGCTGGTGGACTCGAACTGCGTGCTCTTGGAATTACAGCGCAGCTTCTTTCCACTAGGCAGTATATATTTTATCACAATAAAATTTAAAAAGAAAAAGGGTGAAAAGTGTTATCCCTATTTCAAATGAAGAGTAAGAGTCAGGTGAAAACCGAAACAAGATTAAACAAAACCAAACAAATGTATTTGCAACTGTAAATAAAATCCCCTTGCAACACACTGGTTCCCTTTGTTGTTGATGTGTGCCATCGAGTCGCCTGGGACTCATATCCCGTGTACGTTAGCTCTGAACCTTGCCGGATCCTGAGCCAGTCTCATTGTCTCCGGCAGACCTAAGCTCATCTCTCCAGCCACTGAATCAATCCATCTCATCCTGAGTCTTCCTCTACTGCACTGTCTTTCCACCCTTCCAAGCATGATGTCCCTCTCCAAGGTCTGGTCCCTGCTGGCCATGTGCCCAAAGTATGTGCCCAAAGCCTCAATATCCTTGCCTCCAGGCCTGTTTTCACCCTCTCCAAGACCGACCTGTTTGTTCCCTTAGATATCATGTATTAACTGCATTAGAAAAGACACTGGAGAGAAAATAAAACCACACGCCTTCAGGAGCAGCTCTCCTGGCAGGCCCCACTACTACTGCACTTGTGGGCCCAACAGCCCCGCCAAACCAGCAGCATGCAACCCAGGGCTTTGAGTGACCACCGCTGGCCAATGAGAGGCTGAGGCACCATGGAATAGGCCCAGACCTCACCACAGCCAGCTCACATACCCACAGCCCTCCTGAGTACCTTGTTAGCCCCACAGACTCCTGAACACCTTCCTGGAGCCAGACACCCCAGGGACACACAGCATCGAAGCCCAGCAGCTGGGGGACAGGTTGTTGAGGGGGCTCAGGGGCAAGGGGGTCAGCTTGGCTGTTCCTCATCTTCACAGAGGGTGACTGATCTTACCTGGAGGCTGGTATAAGAGGTTAACACACTCCACTGCCAGCCTTTCAAGGTTGGATGTTCAAGTGCACCCGCAGGTACCTCAGGAGAAAGACTTGACTATTGAGTGTTAAGACATCAACCACTTAAAACCCCATGTGCCCAGTTCTACTCTGAAACACTTGGGGTCACCATGAGTGAGAATCAGTGGTAACTGGTTTACCACTTGGTGTTCTTTCCAGCACCACTGGAAGCCAGACAGCTAGACTGACACCCTGACTGCTTTGCACTTGTGGAAGCCCAGGGGAACAGAGTGTGCACTGCTTAGTGAAGATCTTCAAGTGTTTTTTCATAGGATCCCTCCATTCTCAGCAAGTTAAGCTGCCAGGGGCCACGTCCAGTGTGAGGTCGTCCACGGTGACCTATCCCCACTGCTGTGCTGTGGCCACCCTCTCATCTGGGAACTTAAGCCACCTCAAAGTGGGAGTCATCCCAGAGGCCCTGACTTGGGGTCAGAGAAGCCCAGAGAAGGCCTTTTCCTACGACTTACTGGTCTTAGGACTGCATTTTCCTCACCTTTCCAACAAGCTAATTAGATCTGGCCATGGAAACGCTCAGAGTCTCAATGTCTTCATTGATAAAAAGTGAGGGTTTAATCTCTACCTCGAAAAATTGCCAACCGGATGAAAAGGAAAACAAACACTGCAGTGTGTTTAGTAAGATGCAAGGCTGCTGATTTCAGGGGCCGTCAGAGGCGGGATATGTCCCTGAGGGCCACAGACCATTTGCCACCAACCCCCAACTGTGCTTTAGCGGGTCATCCAATGTGGTTTTTCTAGCCACTGGCTTTGACTTTGATCACATGGCTGGATAGGACTAAACACAGATAGGGCGTCTGCGACTCCAACGGCTGCTATAGAATGTAAAGAAAGTAAATCCCACCTTTTAGGGTGGGAACATGCTAATTAGGTTGGTTTTGCCACCCGACAGGCTTAATGTGAACGAGTTCAGAAGCTGAAGACTGGAATCTCTCTACTATCAAGAAAGAAGAGGCAGAGAGTATGGGGATGATTCTGGGCCAGAGATTCCGCCCCTAGACAAGAGACCTAGACTGGACCAGACACGGCAGCTGCTGATGGAGAACCACAGACTGACTGATGCAGAACTGAGCCGGACCACCCCAGGGAGCCAGAGCCTGGGAGAGACGTCCTACCGGTCAGACTGCAAGAGCTTTGTAACACCGGCCCAAAAGCTGAGAGGCTGAAGCTCAGAGGACCAGCCTGTATGCTCGAGGGGCTCCCCTGACTGAAAAGTTGTATCCTGTTTCCACCTGAGCTACCTCCCCTAATAAATCTTATTTACTGTGAGACTTGTCTGTGAGTAGTGGGGCCCTCGCAGCAGATTAGCAGAACTCGGCGAGGCCTTCTGGTGGTAGAATTGATGGAAGTTGTGGGGTGTCTGACCTCGTAGGCATTGGCTCTGGGCTGTTGATGTGCACGAGGACACTCTCCTCTTATGGAGTTAGTGGAGTTCAGAAACCACCCCCTCATGATACTGTTTCACAGTCTCCTAAAGGTTGGTGGTTTGAACCCACCCAGTGAGACTGTGGAAGAAAGGCCAAGCGTGATTTTGGAGATTTACTTCTATAAAGATTATAACAGGAAAACGCTGTGCTGTAGCCCTACTGTGTAACACAAGGGGTTACCATAAGATGGGATTGACTCAGTGGGTTTTCAGGTGACGACTAAGAAGTACCTATGAAAAGCCTCCTCGGAGTGGACCGCATGGAACCATGTTCTTACCAGTGCCAGGCGGTGTCTTTGGGGAGGGCGTGGTTTTCGCTGGAATCCTGGTGGCATTGGCTGAACCTTTCTGGCCTGGAGGGGCAGCTCCCCGGGGTGTGGCGATCTTCGTACCAGTTTTATCTGACCCCTGCAAACCAAACCAGGATACACTGTGTTTTTACGATGGGGACACGTTTCAGTGAGTCGATACCAGCCCCATACGCGTCCCTTGACTCAAAAGAAGGCTAAGACTAGGACTGACCCTTTGCCTACTGGAGGGAATAAAATGCCTTCTACCACTCAAAGCTCTGCTGGGCACACAAAGTGAATAGCCCCCCAAGTGAAAAGATAACTAATTTTCCCCTTGAGGAATTGTTTATATTAGTTATCAGCATGAGTTGTGCTAATGTATTCAAAAGGGCACCACAGCTTGTAAAAATGATTTGCTTCATTATCTCTCCTCTTGGCGTTGATCAGTGAGCAGACCCTCACTGGGCCATGCCTCTGTGGACAGTGATTTTTCTGGCTCTAATTATGGGTTTATTTGATCTGTGGTGTGTTTCCCTGGAGGCACTTGGTCTCTGGAAACACCGCTGAACTTGACTAAGAGTGCTAAACAGAGCTAGGTTCTTGTGTTCTTCTCTAGGCAACCAAAGGCTTCAACAACACGTAACTCACGTGCACTAAGAGCCCTTGGCAGATAATCATCCACCATCAGTTAACAGACTAACTCAAGGTTGAGAGAGCGTGTTGGCACAAGCAGACTACTGGACATGACCAGTTGTTGGGTTTGGTTAATGGGTCGATGACCTTTAGACATAACACAAACTCAAAAAGAAACTGACATTCACCAAGGACCATGCGATGGTTCGGTTCATGAGGCATGACCTGGGGGCAGGTGAGGGGGGCTGTGCTGGGGAACAATGGGGTTGTCCAGCCCAAACAGAGGCGACTCAGAAGTGCTCCCAGATGCAAAGTCAGGAAGGGACAAAGGAATCCAGAGAGTGGATTCTCATTTTCACATCCGGGTCCCTTACGGGCTGCTGCTATGAGGGGCCAAAGGGAGCCAAGACGTTTGGCTCTGAGCCTCCTTTTCCCCTGCTCAACTAGAAAGCTAACTTCATGGTACTGCTATAAAAGGGCTCCTCTGGAGAAAGGTCTCTGGGGCTAAAATAACCCACATTTGCAAAGCACATGGGTGTAGCCTGGTGGTTTCCACAGGTGGCGTCCTTACCTTGAGGCTCATCTCCTTTGTTCCAGAACTGCGCGTTCGGGGTGTGACAGATGAGGCGTGTTTAGGAGAGGAAGATGGCTCTGGGCACGCAGCAGGGCTGGAGGGTTTGATCAAAGGGTCTGAGCTACCAGGAGTGGGGCGTTTGGGGCTAAGGCAAGGCCTATTTTTCAGGGTTCTAGCAGAGGAAGGTGTGGATGTCTTAAACATAAACATAAATAAAATCAAAAGAAAAGTCAGCACATTGGGGAGGGGAACAAACTGAAAAAGGACAGTGACTTTAAAGAAATAAATAAAGCAGGCAATGGTTTAAAACAGGGGTCTCCAAGCCGGATCATGGATGCGCCCCACTGTGCAAGCCAGAATTCATCAGTATTTAACATCTAGGATGCCAAATCCAGTATCTGATGCACGCCATACGGTGTGCACATGACAGAACTTTTAGGAGCAGAGGATGAATGAGTGATGGATTAAAGGTTTAACACAATCATTTGGAGACCGCTGATTTAAGGGTGGTTCATGCCCAACAAGTCTACGTGATACGTAGGATGTTTCTTGAGAAAGCATCCTCAATCTGTGCTGGGGCAGAAGAGCCCCAATTTCTACTCAGTTCCAAGGGAAAAACGCTCATGTGGCCATCACTGACCCCAGATGAGCCCATAAATCAACTCAGGATTGTGCCTGTACCAAGCCTTCAAGATTCTGTCTGATACCAATTCTCTCTCTCTCTCATTCCCCCCACTCTCTCCGTCTCTCCACCTCTCTCTCCATCTCTCTCCCTTTATCTCTCTCTCTCACATACATTTGTGTATGCTTGCTTTCTTTTTAAAGTTTCAAGGAAAACTAATCTTAATACTATCTGTTGAATCTTAATCTGGCCAATATTAATTCTTGAACACATTCCATAAAAGGAAATCATGTGAGTGGGACAAGGGGCCACTGGCCTGGATGCCCTCAGAGAGGGACCTGTCCAGTTCTAAAGAGGACATCTGATGGGTGGCGGCTGACTCTGCGGTTTGAACGAATTGCCTGTGTGGGATGCTGACTAGCGTGGGGGCCTTTCATGGAGGAGAGTGGGCAGGGACACACCGTTAGGAATAAGACAGAGAAGCTAAGTCTGGAGGTGTCCCAGGGAGGGCATCCATTTCAGAGCAGACTGGAAGCTTCACTGTCCCTTGGATTCCTGGCTGAGGGCCTTCCTGAGGTCAGCTGTGGTGAGGTGGACCCCAGGATGGGGGAGAAGGGAGAGACACAGGCTGGGACCGATGAAAAGGGAGATCTGAGGGTGGGAGAGCTGCAGTTTAGAATAAATCAGAAACTTCTCTGGGCTGTGAGCAACTCCAAGAGAGAGAGGCCCACTAGGGGCCATGATGTGTGAGTGCTGAATAAATGAATGAATGAGGCAGGAACTCCCTCCCATGACGCACTAAATGCACATCATGATTGACAAGAAGCTACTGTGCTGCTCCAGGTTTCCAGAACAGAGCGAAGGCCCTGCAGACCCTCAGCTGCTGAGGCAGCATCTCAGCGGGGCTGCCCTTGACTCAGTACAGAGTTGGTCACTTGAAGAAGTGGCCTTCAACATGTAATGCCCAACCCTCAGAGGACATTCTCTCTCAGAGAAACAATCAGGGCCCTCAGTCTTGGTTAAACCGTAGATGCTTCAGGGAGAATTTATGAACCAACGGGGAGAATTTATGAATCAATGGGGAATAAATCACCTCAGGAGTCCTCACTCTGGATGTGGGGTTGGGACAAGCCGGCCAACCTCGTCCACGCTTCCTCAGTTGGCCTGACAACTGGGGCATATGCTATCCAGCTCTTGGGCATAACTTCAAGATACTGTGAACCACCAGACTTCTTAACTCAGTATTTAAACTGTATATCAAGTTTTCCTTCCTCCAATATCTTTTTAATTTCAAGTCAGTTCCCAAACGGAGCTCAGATTCAAGCAAGCCAATCTGCTTATAGTTTTAGAACATGTGTTGATTTTTATGTATCCAGGGTTTTTTTTCTTTATGTTATTCTTCCTCCTTGGAGTATCATTTCCAATCCTTAACTCACAAACTCTCATTTATATTCTCTTCACAGCCTTCTTCATAAGACATCCCCCAGAACTCTTCTGGAACATTCCACGTTGGGCTGGAGAGAACATTTTGTCTACATTTTCTCATTCCCTGCTTAAGTGCTGTTTTCTATGTCTCCTATGAATATATATATACTTAGTGAGCCTAAGTCTGTAGCGGAAAGCATAAGATATACAAAACCCACAAATTTTATTGCAGAAAATGAATACAAAACTTCATACGAAAGTCTCGTTTAAACTATGGTAATTAAATGGGTCTTCGGAGCATCAGCCTGCTAGGGGCCCTTACCTGGAATGAAGATAAGGATGGGCATATGCTGGAAGTTTTAAAAGTTTGTACAAAAACACAAAACCCTTTAAAATGTCAGCTGTACTCTAGTGATAATCGCTCCATGCACATTACTCGTGAGAAGTAATTCAGACAGCAAAGCATCAAGTGGCTTCTAGAAGAACCCGGCCTGCATCGGAGAGCTCCAGGGCTCCAACCTCTTACCTTCGCTCTTCTGTCATCATTTCCAGTCCCGTCCTTGCTTTTAGTGACCATGCGAGCTGAGAAGATAGAAAATGAGAAGACACATTACACCCCACAGTCACAGTTCCCAGACACGCCAGAGGCCTGACACAGAGGTGCCGTTCTCTCAGCTCAGGGCCGCGTGTTTCGTGTTTCTTTTAGCATGCTCTTGGGTGAAGGAACCGCTTGGTGTTCTCGCCCCTGGCATCTGTTAGCTCTCACATTTTCAATATCAACACAGCAAGCCAGGGTTATTGCTCGGAGCCACCTGGTGAGAGGGGTCAGCAGGCTGGCTGAGGGAGGGGACATGCAGCAGGGATGCGGCGACTCCTGTGGGCCAAGGCTGACAAGGGTGCTGTCCGGGGAAGGTGAGACCAGCTTCACATTGCAGTCCTCAGTACCGTCCAGCTCTGTCAGGGTCACCTCACGCACCCAGGACCACTCCATTCCAAGGAGGGTAGCCAAGGAAGCCCAGTGCAGGGGTGACACGACTCAGCCAGGCTCTGGTTGTCCTGAAGGTACCCTTCTGCTCCGACTGTCACCCCATTCAGAGTGGCTGAGTTCCCAAACAGGCTGCTTATGCTCTAGGCCTTTTGGGGATTGAGAGGAACCACCTCTGGGTCCCTGCCCTCACTGGCCACCAGGACAGGTGAGGCTGGCTGGTTGAGACGTCTTCTCGTCCTGTTGCCGGCCGCAGCCCCAGAGCATCCTCCATGAATTGGGACTTCAGTCACCAGTCCCGGGCCCACTGCTCTCAGCTGGGCCTGTCACAGCCTGGTCTTCTCACCTACAGGTCTTGGCGGGGGTCTCTTGTTAGGTGTCATTAAGTGACTTCTAACTCAGAGTGACGCTGTGTGACATAGTAGAACTGCCAGGTACAGTTTTGACTGCAATCTTTATGGAAGCAAACTGTCAGGCCTTTCCTTTGGAATGATTAAGTGAGTCCAAGCGGTTGATGATTTTGTCAGTAGCCACTGCATCACCAGGGCTCCTTGGAAGGGGACGAATCATTGCCATTTCCCCAAATCTCTGTATCACATTGCTAAAACCTAGCTATAACCAAATTACCAGGAAATACCCTACAGATAACGTCTGGGTTGAAGGAACGGAACTAGTGATGGTTTCTGGGTGTGGAAGCCACACGCCTGTGAAAGCCACCCACTCAACTCCCCTGCCAGCGTCACCTCTTTGCTTCCTTTATTGATGTAAATTAATAACCAATTTTCTTCCCTGGTTCCCGTATCATATTCCCAAGCACACTGGGGACCCTTGGTGCTTATCCTGTTGTTGTTATTGATTGCCTTTCAGTCGAGCATGACTCATAGTGACCCTATGAACAAAAGGCCTGAAGCCCTTCTACAACTATTGACTTTTATCAAAGTTCACAGAGTTTCCAGAGGCATGTTGTTTAGGAAGTGAATGCCACCCCTGGAATCCTGGCTACTTATAGTTGAGACTTCTGGAATGACCAGTTGTCTTATTCAGCCCAAAACTTTTCAGACTTGATTACAAAGCCATTGCACCTGGAAATAGATCCCTGAGTTCATCCGAGACTGATTCTGGAAGCCCAAGCTGGGGCCCAGTAATTGGCATTTTGACAAGGATCCCAAGTGGATTTGACTCACATACTCCTTCCTTTACTCAAATCAGCCAGCACTGTCCATCTTACAACAGAAGTATCTGATAGATGTGTATTTCCTAAATTAGGGAACCACTGAACAAGGCCTTCTTCCAGACGATAGTGGGAAATGTCAAATGAATTCCAGGGACTATCTATTCTTAGCTTGTCAAAACATACGAGGCCCATCAACAAACGAATGGATAGAGAAGCTGTGGTATATTCACACAATGGAATACTATGCTGCATTGAAAAACAAGGAACTCATGCAATATTATTCAAAATGGGTGAGCCTGGAGGACATTATGCTGAGTGAAATATCTCAGTCGCAAAAGGACAAATACTGCATGGTGCCACTGCTGTAAAATGGGACTGATATAAGGGTTGGGGTAAGACTGAGAAAAACTGGATAAATTGTGTATACTGCACTGAAACAGATGAGGGAGTGAATAATTTAAAAGTGATATATGATAGGGTATTATGGTTATCACAAGAGTTCACAATTAAGGTTGCACAGTAGAATGTACTTGGGGCAGTGGGAGGGGTGCGGGGGAATTGTGTACCAGGAAGGGAGTGTTTCTTTTACTTTTACAAAAGAGGAGCGAACTGGGCAGTGGGGGTGCGGGGAGGAGGGCTGGGCAGGGAGAGAAGTGCAGCAATGAATGAATGGAAATCCAAAATCTCTGTAAATGTTCATTAAAATTATTAAAACAACCCCAAAAACCATACATGAGCTCATTAAAGGCTCTGACAAGTCCTGCACTGGCAAAACCAGTTTAAATCTGTCTAGCTTGTTTGCAATAACCTTACTGGGCCATGGGCTTAGTTTTCCTTTTGACACATCTAGGCCAATTCAAAGGGCAAGTCTTCAATAGAACATCAGTAATACACTGTTAAGTTAGTTATTTGTCCTCTCATATTTTGGAAGGTAGTCTATTTTAAAATAGAGCATAGAAACTTCTTTTCCAGCCTTAAATGTAAATATAGGCTTCAAAGTTTTTGACACGTAAAATTGAATCTGCATTTAACAGATGATTCCATTGGAGAGCTTAGTAGCATCAATTTCCGGGCCTTGCAAATCATTCTAACAATATTAAAGGTCCCAGTGTACGGACTCACTCAGAAGCTATCCCACCCCTGGTGGAAACTGAGAAATCTCCTTGCCCACCTCTTTAGGCCCTGAAGGAGGCTGGGGCTCCGCCACTGGGAGAAGGGAGTGCCTTGGACAAGAGGATTCTAGTTCTATTAAGCACTTCTCCCCCCTCCTCCTGCTGTTTATCATTTCTTATTCACAAGGCAGAGTGAGTGAGGTGGGGGTGGGAGGCGGGAGCCGTTAACTCAACTTGGGCTCTCGGACACTTTGCAACTTTGTGTGGATGTGTTGTCCACTGACACCGAATACATCACAAGAGGCCCATGGGTGCCCTCTGCACCTGCTTGCTGCTATGGAACAGCCCAGTATCTTCTAGAAGGCTCCAAGGCACAGGAAAGAATGTGCCTTCCACAGCTGACCTACCCAGATTCCAAACTTGGCACCATCCCTTCTGACAAATTGTCCTTCAGAGTCTTATCTGCCTCATTTGCCAAGTGGGGCTCATGCTGCCCCCTTGGGAGGGCTGCGATGATTCTAAATAAGGAATAAACCCAAACCCATCTCAAGTCCAACTCGTGGGGATCTTCCATTGGGTTTTTGAGGTTACACATCTTCCTGGGAAGAGACTGCTCCTCTTCCTCTGCGAAGTCACTGGTGCATTTGAACCACTGATCTTTGATAGTGCAGCCTGCCACGTTACCACTATGCCGCCAGGACTCCTTAGACACTGATCTGTTATTGTTGTGCACCTCTGAGCCAGAAATGACTTACAGCTGACCCTCCAGGGGGTTTTTCAGAGGCAGTAGATTGCACAAGGGGAGACTGTCCATCCTTCTTCCACGGAGCAGCTGGTGGATTCGAACCGCGTGCCTTCAGGTTGGCAGCGCAGCTTCTTATCACTAGGCCACCAGAGCTCCCTAGACAATGGCTAAGGCCTCAGAAGTGAGACGTGTTTTCTCTATGACGAGTGCAGCCCACCAACCTCCCATGGGCTGATGGGCTGACCTCTGAGGCTGGTCGAGTGGACAGGGCAGGAAGCACCGGGCAGGGCGGTGGCGGCATGCAAAGGCGGGCAAGCGTGAGAGGAGCGCGAGCGGCGCCTCCTGGTGGGCGGCGGGCGTAGTGCTGTCCTGGGACCCTCGGAAGCGGTGGGGGCCGAGGCAGGGCAGCAAGCTCAGTGCCCGCGGCCTGGGGGGCTCGGGAGGTCCCCGGGGAAGTGCGAGGGAGCTCGAGACACAGACCTTTGAGTTGAGGCACCCGGCTGACGGGCCTCACCGGCTGGCCAGCCACACGCTGCTTTTCAGAAGGTTCTGGAACGTGGGCCTCCAGAGTGTCCTGCCCTGCAGAGGGGCCACTGGTCACCTGCTCTTCTCCAGGGCTCCCTGGAAGTGCAGGCCCTTCCACATCCAGCCTCGAGCACCCCGATTCCTTGGTTTTGATTTCCACTTGGAAGGTGAACTCGGGGGGCCCGTCGTGGCCCTCGGCTGCTGGCCCTGTGCTGGACGCTTCGGGGTTGAGAGTGCCTGGGATGACGGTGGTGTCCTCGGCTGGGAACCCGGGGAGACCAGTGGCTTCTCTGAACACTGTCTGCGGGGCCTGCCCAGCTGGGGTTGGGGGGATCTGTGGATTTGGGGAGATCTGGGAAGGAGAGGAGTCCTGGGGCGAGGACTCATCGATGTCGCGGTCTTCGTCCACCTCCTTCTCACCCCCCAGCCTCTCCTCCTTCAGAGGGGGCCCCACCAGGAGCAGGTCTTCCAAAAGCTGGGGCTTCAGCCGCTCGAGGCCGCAGGAGCCTCTCTCTGTGTCCTTGGGCTCTGTCCCTGGCTGGGCCTCTTGGGGGCCTTCAGGCCTGTGGAACCCCAGCTGCTGAGTGAGACCCAGGCTCCCTAGGTCGGTGGGCTCGCCGAGGTCGTCTTCAGGGACAGCCTTGATACTCTCGGGCTGCAGCTGATCCCAGGGGGAAGTGGGCTTCTGTCCCCACTCCTGGTGGGGCTCCAAAGGGCCTCCTGTTGCAGGATGATCTGAGAACATGGGGGGATGCGGAGAAAGGCGAGAGGCCATGGGTGCCACGGCTCTGGGGTGTTCCTCCGTGGGAGGCAGCCCCCAGCCCCCAGAAGCTTCTCTGCTTCCAGGCTGGCTCTGACTCAGCCCCTCAGGTACCTCCCACAGCTGGGCTGGAACTCTTAACTCCTCTGGTTTTGAAGAGGCAGTGGTGCAAAAGGTTAGCAAAGGTGCATTAATTGTTCAAGGGAGGGAACATCACTATTGAAATGAGAAAAGGAAATCTGAACAGCATCTCCTGCCCACCCTATGAAGGAAAAGGGGTACACACGCCTGGTTCTTCCTGGCTGTGTTTATTTGCTCGGCATGAAAGCTCTCTTGGTCTGTCTGCCTACAGCTTGCCGGGTGAACCTGGGTGCACACCCCTGCTTTCTGGTTTTGTCATCTGTACAAGAGGGGCTTGAACCTGGTACCCTCTGAGGCCTTCTCCGGAGTGGGGGCTGTTCCTCTGCCTATGGGAAGGCTCTGGTTGGCACTGACTATGCCAGCCTATGCCAAGGTGGACTCTGTTTAACCCACTGGGTACAGAGTTTAGGAGCGGGAATGTGAGGCCGCGAGGATTCTGGCTCCTGGATGGAGCCTGACTTGGGTTTGGCGAGGGGGCCCTCCCTTCTTCCTCAATATTTTCCTCTTCACAAGTGAAACCACACTTTAAATCTATGCCTGGCTCATCTTGGAAAACACAAATCAGGATCATCAGGATTTGCTCTTTATTTCACTAATGGGCCCACCCTGGGTTCTTATAAACACAATTTGGACTTATCAAAGTCATTGGTTGTGGCTGACTCTTTCGCTTTAGATGGGGTAGACTATGTGGCTGTACAGGATTCTGAATAATAATGGCACTGGCAGCTCTGTTGAACTCTGGATTTAATCTAGATTAATCCACATAATTTGCAGCATACAAACCCAGGTTATCTGGGGGACACACCTTGTCTTCTGGTATATTTGTGTGGATTAACAATAGGGGAATGCCATGCTTTATTTTTCCTATTCTTTTATTATGAATATAATTTTTTTTTAAGTTCCAGCCCTTCAAATAGCTCACAGAGTCGCCTAACTCCTAACTCTCCCAAAACAAGACTACAGCCCACAAAGACTGAGAGGTTTAGATGATGTGAGGGGGGGAGGTGGGGAATTCACCATGTCTGTACACACACATGCTGACTGCTTTATAAATACTGGCTTCTGCTTTCTTGTAGTGACTGTGGGCTCCTGGTCAAATGCCAGGAAGAACCACCGAACAACAGAGAGCCCTGAACCAGGTACGGTCAATAGGAAAAAAACCCAAAAACACAACAAACCTTTGTGTTATGACTCCTTGTCAGTCAGCTCAACAGACAGAGGCCCTGGACCTGCTAGATAGTGGGCAGGAGGCGCCTAGATCTCCAATGGCTTCTAGAAAAGCCTCCTTTCAGAGCTTCCTAGAAATTGCTCTTGACTGGAATGGTATTGTATTTTGAAATTGTACTAGGAGATGTCAAGTCATCACTATATGACCGTGCTCTGTGTGTGTGTTTGTGTGTGTGTATTGATCATCAAGGAATTTAAGATGAACCCAGTTATACTCCTGGGGGCAGGAGGCAGGAGGCAAGCTGGGAGAATATTCTGTCCGTTTTCCAGGCTAAGACAAAGCACTTAGCAAGTATTAATACTACACAGATCAGTCACTTGGGAAGGGGCAACCTGAAGGTAGCCACATATCGGGGCAAATAAGGGGGCCTCAGGAGTCTGGAAATGGTGTACAACACTGCGCCTCTGAGAGCCTGGCCCTGTGATACTTGGAGAAGAAAGGTTAATTCTTGGTGTAAACTGGGTATAGGTAGAGCTTTCCCTAGCTCTTAAAGAAACAAAAACCCACCAAAAATGGTTGTTATTGAATAGATATGGATTCATGACAATGCCATGTGTATCTATACCTCCTAGAGCTTTGACTGACTGGGTTTGGGAAGCACACCACCTTTCCTCCAAGGCTCTGCAGTTTTTTGGTTAGATATTACCATTTGCACCATCCAGGGACCTGTATAGTTTTATTTTCTGAATTCTGCATCTCCCTCCTGGGAGATATTTTTCTCTTTTAGGTACAAAATAAACACTGCCAAAGATGTCTTTTCTCCTGCAGAAAGTATCTAAAAACTGTATTTTTGTTTACACATCTCTTCCTAACGCTGACAGACTGCAGGTCTCTGACAAAGTGTCTTGCAAACAAATGACCAGTGTGCTGGGACTTAGCTGAGGAACGACACGTGGCTTTGGACCTGTGGTTCCATCAAGGCACTGATATTGGCGCTGGGATTAGAAGTAGAAACCACGGCCCGTTTCTTGATCAGGTGGTAATTTCCCCATCACTATACCTACACAATTATGGCACGCTGTCTAAAAATGTGAACAGTTCTGTGAGCACAAAAGAAAATAGTTTCAGAAAATAAGCTGGCCTGATTGCTTCTTTGAGTGAATTATGCTTTAGAGACATACAGACGCAGTCTGAAACAAACCTGCCGAAAAAACCCCAAGTCCATGTATTTTTATGGAAGCAAATGACCACTTCCAGAGGGTCTGTTTTACTCTCCCCCAAAATCAACCTTGTTGCTGTCAAGTCAATTCTCACTCATAGTGACCCTAGAGGACAGAGTAGACCCGGGAGCCTTCCAAGGCTAAACCACCACAGAACCAGGTGGCAGCACTTCTTGCTCAGAGTGGTGGGTAGACTCAAACTGCTGAACTCTGGGTTAACCAGTAAGCACTCAGCTGCAGTGCCACCAGGGGTCCTTATACTTTATCAATTTCATCTAAGCAAAACTCAAACCCCAAATCAAACATGACCCAGAAGAAGCAAGCCTCAAGGTTCAGACCAGGCCCTCTCCTTTTACATTCTTTTTTTTTTTCTTTTACATTCTTCTTCTACTATTATTTTTTGAGGCTCCATCTGCCTAATAACAAAAGCATGCCTTTCCAGGCCATCTAAGATGAGAAACATTAGCCTGAGGTATGGAGAAGCCCTCTGTGAACAGGAATGTCAACCCTCAAAGTCCCCTCAATGAGATGCTTCTCCAGGACCAAGTGTTGATGAGTGAGTGCCACGGAGTTGGTTCCAACTCGTAGCAACCTCATGTGACAGAGGAGAATGTCCCTATAGGATTTCCTTGAGAGAAAGATCAGTCTCTCTCCCATGGACCGGTTGAGTGGGTTAAAAACATAACTATTCTATTAACAGCTCAGAGCTTAACCATTATGTCACCAAAACACTCTACCCCAAACCAGCTCATGCCAATGGAGGTGCCCAATATCAACAGGTTCTAGAGAAAAGTGCATCCTCTCTCCAGCTCTTTCATAATCTAGGAGCTTCCACATTATACACTTCACTCCCCCCAGCAAATGCTAGAAAACCAACCCAGCCCACACCGCATCTATATCAGAGGTTGCCATCTCTTAAAAGAAGTAATCACCAGACTTTTAAACTTAGGTTCTTGAACTATTTATGATGATTATAGAAAGCTGCTTTTTCTTGAACATAGCCATTCTGAGCCCTGAGAAGACAATCATGTGAGGTTTGAAGTTGGCACAGAAGAAAAGTTCAAAAGGAAATAGCTGAGTGGTGACAGGGTGGCTGCTCCTGGGATAGGCCAGAGGGCAGCTACAGGCAAAGTCCCCATCATAAAGTTCTAGTGAACATTCACTCCAAGGCCTACTCTCCTTCCAGGATACTAAACACCCCAGGGAAGGCTTAGAAATGGTGTTAGAGTTCTTTCTCCACCTATATGGCACTATAGACAAGACTGGATCTCCTTAAATCTCCTGGGCTTGATCCTATGATTTAAGCTCCAGGCCCAAATCTCCTTTTCAGGATAGAGTTAAGTTGAATGTTTCCATCCCTTTCTTCCCCACTCTGCAAATCATGACAGAAAATTCTAATCCACTGACCTTGAGTCACATGTCCGGCAGCTTGGTCCTCCAGGTTAGGGGTGTCTCCAATACCTGCTTCTTCAGCTAGTTTATGTATCAGCAAATGAAGGAGATAAAACCAGAGACTGTTAGTGTTTGCTAGAAACCAAGCTCTCTGTACCTACTGGCATTTCCTCCTTAAACATTCTTGAAAAGCACATGCCCTGGTCCTGTACTACCCTTGGGCTTCTCTGACAATGCTGTTGTTGGGGATGGTGATGAAAAATGTTCACAAAACAAAGCACATGAAAGCCACATAACTACAGGTGAGTGTGATATAGTGGGGAAAGTCTTCTCAAGAGTGGGTCCAAGGCCCTGAACTCCAAATTCAACAATGCTGCACAGAGACGTGAGGTCAAAGAAGCAGTCTGAGGCTGATTCGTTGCCATGGGAGCTATGTCCAAGCTATGTGCGACACCTTAGTCCAGCCAGCATGCTGAGGAGGAAGGACAGGGTCAGGGAAGTATAACGCATAGGTTTTGAAGCCAGGCAGGCAAAGTTCAAACCAACACTCCACCATTTACTTAACCTGGCTTGATTTTTTTTCCCCCACCTAGAATGCCAAGATGATGATATGGCTACATCTTGGAAAGTGGTGAGGGTTAATAAGATAATTTGTGGGAATATGTTGAACAAAGTGCCTGGCATATATATGGTTGATGCCCAAAACCTGCTGAGTTTTTTTTTCTCTAAATGACTGGACAATTTCCTTTAAACATATTAACCCAGAACCTATGCTACTTGGTTGGATGGAGGAAAGAAACTTTTGGGATGTCTTGGGCTCCTCAATAGGGAATCACCATTCACCCAAAACAAAGAAGACTGACCACAATAATAGTACCACAACAAATAGGCTAAATACTGTGAATGTCAATTTTTGCATTGTGAAATATCCAGATATTGTTATCATAAAATAAAAACAATTGTCCTGAAGAAAGAGTTTAGGACACAGGACAAATGTCCATGGTCATTTGTGGACATGCAGCCTCATGACACCAGAAGAACCAAGATGCCCTGGTAGGCAGTGACAGAGAGAGGGCTACCACCTCTGAGAACAGTCCGTTTGTCTTCTCTCTTCTGAGACACTGGTAATGACTGAATTTTGCCATCAAAAGCAGCAGAAACAGAGTTACTGCCATTGGCCCACACAAGCCAGCATGGAGAACTGGGATGAGAGAAAAGGAAATTCCCTGATTTCCTGATGGCTACATCATAGCTTCATAAAGACTCAACTCGTTGGCTATTGCAGGCAGCTGAGGCAAGAGTGGAAGAGGGCCCGCTGAGGGCTCAGGAAGCCCACTACCCACCGACTCATATGCACCCCTTGGGTTCCCAGAGCCAAGACACTGTGCTGCCTGCATGGCCCAATGATGACAGCTCCATGACAACAGGGTGGACTGACACAAAGGCACAGCTCTGAGGGGGACACTCGATCTGAGTTTGTTTCTGACAAAGTGATGGAAGGCAGGCTTAGGTTAATGGCGTTAGATGGCACAAGGGAACATTCTGGGACAATGTCACCACCATGGAGACTCTGCTTCCGTGTGCCAACACACAGTACCAAACTCCTGGTCATGAATCTGAGAGCAGGGTCAGCGGCATCCCCAACTCCCCCTGACCTAGCACAGGAGACGTCCAGAGGAACCCCAGGTTGGAAGCATGCTCGGCAGTGGTCCCATCATGCCACAGGGTTCTCTGTGACCTGGAAGGATATTTTATAAGGACCCAAGAGGGTGCCATGTTCACCTAAGCAGGAGGGGGTCAGTCACAGTGCACCCCTAATTAGGTACTATACTGGAAGTTTCATAGGACAATCCAAGACACAGTAGAGAGGATATACCAAAGTTAGGTCTATATCATCCAAGCTTAATAAATGTCTACACAAGCCTGAGACCTCCTGCCACATCGAGGACGTGGGGAGTTGAGAAGGTGGCGGGGAAGGTGTTTCTTTGGAGACGGTGGCTTGTTACTGTGAGCATCCTCCTTCACTAGGGCTGGGGGTATGGCCACCTCCCATCTTCATTTCAGAGCACCACCTGGAGAGCTGCAGGCGTGTGCTCTGTGGTGAGGTGACTCGGAAGATTGCTCTAAGATTCCATCTGGACGAGAAGAGAAACTAGAGGATGACAGACTGCATAGCTAAATGAGTTCTATAGCTCGGCCGTCCGGTGTGCACCCAGCGTTCCTTTGGGCAACGAATGTCTGCACCTTTCCCAAGACTCAGACTAAGAAGAGTTGGATCAGGCCCAGGAGGCCTACCCACAGGAGAAAGCAGACCTCAGAAGGGTGGAGGTGAGAGGGAGAAGAGAAGAAATTGGTAAGGGCTTCTGCAGAAGAGGATAAACTGGAGATGGTGAAGGACGGATGAGTAGAAGAATCTGGAAAATGAAAAAAAAAAATAGTTGCCAGGAAAGAAAGGAGTCAACTTTATTAAGTGGAGAGAGAATGAAGCCAGCTCCACCTGTGGGCATCCAGGCTTTTCCCCCTTTCCCTCCCACAGCCCCCTCCAGCCTTGACGTTCGCTGCAGCTCTGAGGGAGGCCAGGAGCCTGGACAGCGACGTGGGACTGGACGTTCTGAGGTGCATCCCCGACTATGCTTTATGACTCACGGAGACCAAAATACTTTTTATTTCCTCAGAGCCACTGAAAATCCAGAGTTAGCTAGACTTGTCATCCTGGCCAGGCGAATTTCCACCACTGAATAAATGACAAAGGACCAGTGGGGGTCAAAAAAAAAAGAAAAGAAAAAAAAAGAAAGTGACTCATGCTTTCACCCCATGGGTCTGTTTCCACAGCCTTTACATGCTCTTCCCATTGGAGGATGAGGCCCTGTCTGGCTTTGAGAAAGTCCTCTCCACCCAGCTCAGAAGGCCTTATTAGCGAACAAAGCAGAGATGTGCGTGGAAGGAACTGGGGAGTATGCTGCCCCGACTCTGCAGTAGGTGTCCTCAGGACGCAGAGCCCTGGAACACGTCACATGGAGGAGGAATGACCAACTCCTGACCAGGAACATTTTCCTGCTTTCCGCTGGTGGTGGACTTCTGTACAGAATACTTCTGTGTACTTTCTGCAGAGTGACGGGCACCTTCTGAATCACGTTAGAACCCTTATTATGAGATGACATGCAGGGAGTGACAGCGAGTGTTCAAGGATGAAGGCCTGCCCGCAGCACCCTCAGCCTGGCCTGTGCAGCTCCGGGGTGGCCCAACAGGCCCCAGTCGAGTACTATTTCTGGTCAGTGACTATGTGACGAACTCCCTGTCATCTGTGCTGACAGAAGAGTCTTGTCATGCCTGCTCTGTGTGGTTCTGTTTATCAATGTGACATAGGCCCAGAAGGGGGTACGAGACTTTATCAGGTGCTGTTCCTCAGGGATCATTTCAGATCCTCAAACAGGTCCTTGGGCATCTGGAGTCTGCTACCTGCTCAGAGTTCCTGGAGGATACCCACCCCTTGGGAGGCGACCCTGGTGCTGGACAGTGTCCCAGCAGGAGAGTGGACTGATCTCAAGTATGAAGACAACATGAGTGTGCCACCTCAGCCGTTCTCAGAAAATCTTCTGGAACCTTCTGGATTGATTCACTTACTGAGAGAGGAGATTCAAAAAGGCCCCACATCCTCCGAAGGCTGGTTGACCGGCCACAGAACCAACAGTGCATTAGGGCATCAAGTCCCTCACAAGCCAACATTTGCAGAAGTTGGTGTCCTGCCCACAATCCTGCCAAGCCTGGAGACTTGGATAACCCCAATGTGCACCCCATCAGCCAGGGCACCCAGAAGAGGCCTCCACGGTCAGTATCATTGACTCTCTCCAGGGAGTCACCCTCACCTGTGGTTCCTTCTGGGATCTCGGAGGGGGGCTGCTCGCCAGGTGTTCTCTCATCCACTAGGGGCGCTGTCACATCTGGAAACCGCCAAGAGTCACCTGAGAGGAGGTGGGACAAGCCCCGCCAAGCACTCACCCTTGCTTCTTATGCCGGGCAGTGCAGTGCGGGAGGGGAAGGAAAGGGGAACTCAGCCACATGCACAAAAGCAACCCCGTAAAGCAGGGTTCAGAGCCTGGCCTGCCTGAGACCTCCCTGAGAAACACATCAGTACGCTGAGTGACACTGGCTCATGAAATGCCCACCCCATCCCCATGGAAACACTTCAGCAGAAGAGACTTGCTGAGGATGGCCCCAGGCATTTTAAAACAAGACTGATGGTGTAGAGTTGTTTGATCCTAAGGCCTGCCAGGAGGACAGAATTGGCCCTCAGACAATGCAGGGACTCGGGGTAAGTAATGTTGGGAGTCTGTGGCTTTGCTGTGATAACGAGGCCAGTCCTTTGGCCTTGCTTGGCCTCAGTTTCCTCGTCTGTAAGATGGGAGTGTTGACTCCAGATCACCAAGGTTTCTCCAGCTCTGCTGCCCCTCATGCCACTCTGAACCCATACCACCTTCTGTGGTAATGAATGGATCCAGCCCTGTTACAGCCAGGCACTCAGCACCAGGCCGACACATGAGTCTATGCCACAGTGGAGGCGTGAAGGTGGCCATCTCCCACCAGCAGTGGCTATAGGTCTCCTACTGTTGGCAAACGCATCCAAACCTGCTTTCCTCCCGAGCAAAGCCCTGGCGCACCCCCAGGCCGCTCCTGGCAAACATGGGAGTTGCCAGCTTCTAGAGTTTCCTTAGCGCCCAAGTCTGCTCTGTTCAGTGAAGCTCCCTTTAATTCTCAGTCTTAGGCAAAGCATCTGGCAGAGTCCTGCTCATCAGGGGCCCCTCTCTGAGCTGGAGGCCCAAACTCTCCAGTGTCTGCGCTCAGGGAATGGTGAAGTTCAGTGCCTCATCCTTTTCCCAGAATAATGTTGATGGCAGCAGTGAAAACTCTGCCAGGGGAGCTGGCATGAGGTGCGAAATTGGGGTTTGGGGGTTTTCTCAGAGTGTTAGGCCACCTGTCCTAACAAGAGCCACAGGAAACAGCCTGCCCCTCCTGCTCTAAGGAGAGCTGAGAGAATGGGACCTGGATACTCTTCCTCATCAAGCTGAGAATCTCCCGCTGAGAGCCACGCCTGCTACAGCCTCCACGGAGGCACCAACAGACCAAACAATTGGTGGGACTGACAGTCTCTTTCTAATTAATCCCACGTGGAAGCTTGAGATATCGGGGCCATGTTCTCACCCTGTGAGGCAGCATGCAAAGTCACGGCAGGGCCTGGAGAAGGGCTGGGAATGCATCTTACACTTTCCCTGGGGAAATGAGAGGTAGAGAAGCAGATACAGGAGACTGGTAACTCAAGAATCATTCTCAACCCTCTTCTTCCTTGGTTCCTTCTACCGAAGAAGCCAAAAGCCAAAACAATTGATGACTCAGCCTCTCTTGTAGCCAGGGCTGATCACTGACCATAAGAGCCAGTGTAGCCAATGAGACATACATAGCAGTTGGCTTAGCAAGGCCTGGACGCTTGCTTTCAAAAGGGAGAGGAGGGAGAAGGGATATTTGGTTGTCAGAATCCTTTTGGCTACTTGCTTTGAAGACAGATGTGATGTCAGGATGTGCAGCAGCCATCTTGCACACATGAGGCAAAAGTCCAACTGCTAAGAATTGCATAAGACAACATTAGAAGAGCATCCGAGCAGCCACTGGGGAGCTACTGCCGAATCCAGCTATCTTCTTGTGTGAGATACACCAGCAGGAAATGAGTTTTCTGTCATCTTTGCCAAACTCAGTCTCAGATGGCAGAGATGAGAAGCAAGAGAAAATGGTCACAATCAGGATCAAGAAACACTTGTGGAATTACACCAGGAACTTCATGATGAACATCGAAGGATGTCACTGTAAAAAGACCACGGTGAAGGTCTAGAGCTAGGGCCAAGCTCAGGCCCAAGAATGAAAGACAGCAAATCAAGACCTGTCCCCAGAGGATAGGCTCAGGCCCATGCAGTGACCTGCTCCTTTCCCTCTGTCAAAAGGCCACTCTGAGACCCAGTGGCTCAAGACAGAAGAGCAGGAGTTCTGGAAGAATGACACAGATGAGACAGGTGGTTTGAGGGGAGTGGGTGTTGGGCTGCCCTGCCCGAAATGTCAGGCTGTCCAAAGAGGACAGACACAATGGAGGGCGCCCTCACCGGCACCAGCGTGGACAGCACCCCTGCACGGAGCTGGCCCAGACCCCAGCCTGGCTCCCGGCCTGCAAAGCAGAATGAGCACATCTCTTGGCTAGGGCAGGAGGTAGCAGCAGATGCAGCTGGGAAGGGTGGCATGGATGGGCTCAAAGCACAGGCTGGAAGCATGGAGGGAGCCGTCTGATGGAGCAATGAGAGGAGGGAGGCCCCACCTTCGGCCGTCGGAGTGCTCTTAGCTGAGGTTTCGGAGGTTGGCTCCTCAGATCCACCATCAGCGGGGGTCTGCAGGGGAGACCCTGGAACACACACAGTGAGCCCCTTAGAACAGCTGCTTCTCCCACCCCTCCTTTTAATCTCAGGAGGTACTTGGGGAGCAAAGTCTTCAGGGGCTGAAAATCACCCAAAGTGGACACAGAGGTGACTGACCCTACCCCAATCCAACAAAATTCCACCCACACACTAGGGCCATGGGGCAAAGGATAGCAGTGATGTGCATTTGATTGGGGGAGAGAGAAGAAAATGCCTTTTAGCAATAATAATGGTTCCAATCTCAGCAGAGGCTGTTCCAGCGACCATCAGCAGAGCAGAGATCAGCCAGCTTACCTGTGGCTGGGCCCGCTGCCCTGTCTTTCCTCACTGGAGATATTAATCCCAGATCACAATTTCTCATTAATGGCAAAGAGGCGCCTGGGCAAGTGATCAGTGATCTCACTACTTCCTCTGAGAAGGAATTTGCTCAGGGCAGGCCCAGTGCCCTCTGCTAAATGGGCAACTGGGTGCATGTCTGGAGTTCATTCAACTCTTTTCTTAGAAAGATCCCCAAGTACGGGAACAGCCATCTGTGAGTGATGTCTGAAATGCTAGCTGTGGTTGAATACAAGAAAACTCTATGTTCAGAATGCCAGGTGAGAGAGGCCCACAGTGGACAGCCACAACCTTACTGTGCATTCCACTCGTAAGCAGCGGGCCACTGGGGGCAATATTCCCTGGTCATTTAATGGGTTATCAATGCTTTGTTCAGTATCCTAACCAAAGTCTTACATGTAAATCAATACCACTTAAACATCCATTGTATGGATCAAGTCAAGTGGTTGGGAGGAACCTGCCTGCCACCAGGAGTGCCCAATCTACCACAGAGAGAAGGGACAGATATACGGAGTGAAAGACCAAGTGCCCACATGAACCAGCACAGGCCAGGCTGTCTGAAGAGTGTTTCCCTAAAGGTTTCCTAACAGGAAGTGACAGATACAGTCTAGCGAGCATAGGACCAGGGTCAAGATACCTGGGTTCAAGTCCCAATTCCACCTCCTAGTGTTTGTGGTCTTGGACTTGCCTGTTCCTCAAGTTATAAGGTTAGGGACTCCCTGGGGGGATCTGGGCAGGTGGCCAGCCACTGCACCAGATCGATGAGCGGACGGGCCATTTAAGGAAAAGTCAAGCGTCACTCTGCAGTGGCAACCGCCTGAGATGGACACCTCATGTAGCACAGACACCACTTTCTGGCCACACTGTGCCGATCCCCTCCCCCCTTCACAATTACAGAGCTCTAATTTAAGTCAGATGGCTCGGTGCCCAGTACAGGGGCCAGCTCACCCAGCCTGCAGGGCAGCAGAGGTCACTGGGGAGACATTAGAGGACCCTGCTGGACTGTTGTTGCTAAGGGTCTTTGAGTTGGATATGACTCAGAGTGACCCTATGCACAACAGACCCAAATCCTGCCCTGGCCTGTCCTGTCCTCGTCATCTCTGGTACCTGTGAGCCTACTGCTGCAGCCACAGTGTCAGTCCATCTGGGGGACTGGACACCAGGAAGTCTCCATGAAGGAGGCTAACTCAGTTGATGTTCCATACCCCCTCCTCTCTTTCCCAGCAGCCTTTGCTCACCTGAGACACCTTGAAGATAGAGGCCATGCACTGCATTGGTGAGGACCAGACAGGAGGGGACTGACTGAAACCCCTCCCCCAACGACGTGGAGACTTGCACGGGCCCCATTTGCTTCTGCACATCAATTACGTGACAGCAAATAAACCCCTGTGTCATGCGGACACCTCTATTCAGGATTTCCCCCAACAATTATATAAAAATGCAAAACACATTCTCAGCTCCAGGGTTGGACACAAGCAAGCTAGAGGCACATCTGGTCTTGGGGCCAACATTTGCTCACCCTAGCTTTAAGGAGTGACTTTGCCCACAGATGATGGGAGGAGGGCATCCAGGTCAAGGGGCTACTGTTGTGCACTGAGGTTTGTGGTCTGAATGTCAGTGTCGGGATGATGGAGGGTAGCAGCTTGGGTGTTGTACAGGGATGTTATGAAGAGCTGAGTGGGTCATCTGTTGGCGAGTTGATGTTGGTGCCAAGGACTGAAGCAGAGAAGCCAAGAAAGGCCCAGGGAGTGGGGAGCATGGATCACAAGACAGCAAGACATGTTATCTGAGCTGGACACAAACTGGGTCCTGAGCAAAACCCCAAAGCTTCATGGGCTCTGGTATTTGGAGTCCTCACCCCAACCACGCCCGGAAGTGTAAGCCAGAGATAAGAACTCAGGGAGATTCAGTGGGGGTGGGGGTGGGCTTGAAAAAGTCTCTCCACATAGGGAAGGGGATAACCTTACAGGTTTACAGGACAAGTGGCTGAACCTGTTCATAGAGCACAGGACACAAGTGACATGTGTTCAAGGCTCACTGTGGGGACACACATCCTTTGCCAAAACACAGACCCTTAACACTCAGCCCTATCTTGCACATCTGGGTTTTGACAAGCTCCACAGGGTTCCCAGCCATGACAGCCAGAGAGTGACATGAAATGCACAGGGACCGGGGGCAGGCAGCCACACCAATGGGGCCAAATGACTGTAGCATAAGAACTCCAATGTTGACCATGCTCCCAGCAGCCAGCTCCCTAGAGTTCATAGGGAAACAGGTATGACCACCTTGAGAAGGTTTGGGACAAGTGGTAACAAAGTGTCATGCTGACATCTAGTAGGTTTGGTTCGTGAGCCCTAGAATGTCAGGGCAAGCGAGGAATAAGGATGTGAAGGGGACCCTAAGCACATTTTCCCCAGAAATACCCCTCACCATCTGAAGTCCTTGCCTGTTGACATTATTCTGGTTAAACTACAGGTTAACCCCTCAACACTTACTAATTTAAAAAACCCCCAAACACACAGTTAACCCACTGGGCCAATTCGCACTTACTTTGAGCCCCTGGGCACCGGAGTAGAACTTCGGTCCACAGAATTTTCAACGGTGTGATTTCTCAAAGGGAGTCCTGGCAGCATAGTCCTTGGACAGCTGTGCTATGAACCCAAAGCCTGTGTGTCTGTGGTTCGAAGCCATCAGCGGCTCATCCTCTTGTGATTTACAGTCTTGGAAACTCAACAGGAGATTGGAACTGACACAGTGGCAGTGAGTGACCTTTTGGAAGTAGATCACCAGCCCTTTCTTACAAGGTGCTTCTGGGTGAGTTTACCAAACTTCTAGTTAGCACCTGCGTGTTTTATGTTCGCCACGCAGGGATTCCATTAACTCTTTAAGGTACATTCTTGTATTAGTTGACCATCATCAGCTCTCTTTGGCTCAGTCAGCCCTAGTCCAACTTTTTGCATCTACTTTATATAGTCTTTCTATAACATATGGTTTCTCACCATGATTCAGAATAGTCTTCTGCCACTTATTTCAAATGTCACTAAAGATGACATTACTGTCAAGTCAAATCCATCACTCTGTACAAAAATAACTCATTCTAAATCCCCAGTTGCAAGAGCTAATTTGATAAGAACAAGCAAAATCTCTTAGGTATCATTGGCTTTCTTGGGAAATAAATGATTCTAAAGTGCTTTTCTTTGACAGCAATTTCAGAAAGGTGAGTAATTGAAAGTTTGCTGAATGTATGTATGTTTGTACATGGATACACACATGCACTTACACATATTCCCTGAGCATATCACTTCTAAGCATGTTGTATGTTAGTGAAGGGAATGCATTAGTAAACATACTTGAAAACACTGAGACATAAAATTACCTGGTAAACACGTTCTTATTTTACAAATGAAATATCATTTCCCTTTCAAAAAAATAAGAGGGGGTAAACCTACTTTTCCCTCTAATTTTTAAAAATGGACTTTATATGTTAGAATTGACAGAAAAATTACAAAGATAGCACAGAAATTTCCCATACACTACGTTTCCTGATTCTCCTATAATTAACAACATACATTACTATGGTACATTTGTTGGAAATATATATGAATACACACACATCCACATCCACATGCAGACATACATATATACACAAATGAGTTATTTAGTTTTAAAACAGTTTTCAGTTTTTTAAAGTTGCAAAAATGGCACAAAGATTTTTTTCATACCTTTCATTAGATGTTAATGTCTTCCATCATCTTAGTTCTATGATCTTGATACAATATTATCAATTACAGACTTTATTCAAGCTCCAACCATGTCCCATTCATGCCCTTTCTACAGGCCTGATCCCACCCAGAGGACCACACCGCACTTAGTTATAGTCTCTTTAGTCTCCTCCAATCTGAGTCAGTTTCTTACTTTTTCTTTTCTCTCATGACTTCAACACTTTGGGAAAATACCGGGAAGTTACTTGGTTGAATGTACACATTTTTCGCTTAATTTTTAAATCAGGCTACCTTCCCTCTGAACACAGGGGTGCTGCTGCCTCTAGAAACTTGGTGACTGGCCATGGATCTGGGCTCCACTGGTTCCCAAACGTGGCATTCAGAGAGTGAAATGAAACGCACTGGGGTGAGGCAGCGACACCAATGTGGCCAAATGACTGTCGCCTATAGTATTTAGAAACGAATGCTATTTATTGTTATGCCTCCTGAACTGAAATGATAATTACTAATTGTTTGACAACATTGTTAACTTTACTTAAACACAAATCTATTTTTATAAACGAATGTAAATAATTTGTTTATATTTAGAATTCTAACTGGTTTTCATTTTTATAACTTAGACTAGACCATAAACTTTTAGAAATAAAAGGAAGGCTCAACTGGATTTGTGAGAAAATTCATTTTCTATAACTGGCCTAGAGTAGATTAGTCACAAATGTGTTTATTGTGCCAGTGTGAATTGTAATTTACCAAAGAGAAGTATGTCATTTGGTTGGTCTTGCAGAAAAGTCCCTTGGAAAGGGAACTGGTTCCTCTTTCAAATAAATAAAATTTCCAAATTACAAGTGGAAAAAAAACACACACACAAAAAGAGTGAGTTGTTGAAGAACTTCAAAGTGGCCCAATTCTTGTCAAATACTGGCCAGGTAGGCCTGATTTGATGGTGCGATGTTTAAGCTCTGGACTGTGAACTGATAACTTGGCAAGTTGGTGGTTCAAAGCCACTAGCTGCTCTGTAGCAGGATGGTGGGGAACCTGGTGATCTGTCAGCTCCTGTAAAGATTGTCGTTGTTGTTGTTGTGTGCCGTTGAATCATAGCCGACCCACAGCTGACTCTTCAGCAGAGTTTGAAAGACAGTAAATTGCATGAAAGGAGATGACTGTTCATCCCTCTCCTTTGAAGCAACTGGTGGATTTGAACCATGTGCCATATGGGTTGGCAGTGCAACTCTTCACGACTAAGCTACCAGCCTGTGAAGATTACAGCTTAATAAATGCTATGGGAACAGTTCTACTTGTTCTGTCACGCGGGCATGTTATGGGTTGGAATTGATTGGATGGCACCCAACAACAGCAACAAGGGCTGACAAACAAAGAAGTAAACAGAAGGCGTTTTTCATGGCTAGAGAGCCATGCATTTTGCTTGCTAGTGGAGTTGCTGATTTGCCAGTTAACAGGTGGCTGAAGAAGACTCAAGAGCGCAGCCTGTATCAACGAGCTGACAAGCCCGACGCCGTCTCTGCCATACTGCTTTTCTGGAAAACTCTCCTTTGGAAAGGAAACATTTCAAACAGCTTCACAGTTTGAGGTGCCGTGACCCATCCTAAAAAACCCAGTTTGCCTCATTGGACAATCCAACACAGTGAAGAGACTGAAAACATCTTTAAAAACCTGGATGTGAACCTGGCCTGCCGACTCCATTCTCGGCAGGCATGCTGACCATGGTCCTTAAGGTGTCCTGGGCCTGGTGTGCATGGCTGTCCACTAACCTTTCAGGCCATGGTCCACGTCCCCGTCATGGTCTTGCAGTAGGGTGTAGCCCCCCTGAGCGTCATGGTCTTCCATCACTTCAAAATCCTGGCGGGGCTCGGCCATCTTGGTTCAAGGCTCACCTGGAGAAGGAAGACAAGAGGGGGAGGGGCCTAGATGAATCTCTAGGAGGGCTGAGGGGTGGCGGGCAAAGACAGACAGGCGCTTTCTCCCCAGGTCTTGGCAGGCAGGATTTCTGCGTCATCGAGCCCAACCATACCCCCAACAACTCCATCCAAAGTGCTGTTTACATTTGTGTGCATTTTTAAAAAACAATTTCCAACTTCACCTCAGTCCCTATTAAAAACCAAGGAGATAGATCAGGGACCCTGACTTGTTAATCATTTCTAGTCAAATGCTTCTTCCACTTCATTAAAAAATTATTCTGACTTGAGTTTTGGGGTTTTTTTGTTTGTTTGTTTTTTCGAAGAAGGGACGGTCAGAAAGAAGAGGGATGGTGTCTGCCAGGCACTTGTTGCGAGGAAAACGAGGCACAGAGAGCTGATAAAGTGCACAGAGTAACTGCACAGCAAACCCAACTATTGCTCCAAGTGTCATAATTCCCTCAGGCTCGAGCTCCATGGCCTCTCTGAGGTTCAAGGCTGAGGCCCTCCACCACTGGGGCCCACTAATACCCTTGGGTGTCCCCTCCCAGGATGCTCTCCTGAAGGCCTGATAAGTCCCAGTCGGGCTCAGACTCAGGCCCTGTGGGAGCAGTGAGGCTTTGGGGTTGAATAGCAACATGCCATTTCCTGTCCCAGAGGCCCTCGTCGGGAGATGCTACTTCAGCTCAACAGAACCTTCTGGAAACACTATTTCTTGTACTTCACTTTCAACTCTACTTAGAATAAATTTTTATATGCGGATGACACAACCCTGCTTGCTGAAACTGAGGAGGACCTGAAGCGCCTGCTGCAGAGTGTCAAGGACTGCAGCCTACAATATGGATTGAGGCTCAATGTCAAGAAGACAAAGATTCTCACCACTGGACCAATCGGCAGCATCAGGATGGATGGTGAAGAGATTGAGATTGTACACAGCTTTAGTTTGCTTGGCTCCATAGTCAACAGTCTTGGCACCAGCAGCCAGGAAATTAAAAGGCGCATTGCCATGGGAAAGTCTGCTGTTAGGGACCTCTCCAAAGTGCTGAAGAGCAGTGGTGTCTCTCTGGAGACTAAGGTACGTCTGATACAGGCCATGGTCTTCGCAATCACCTGTTATGCATCAGAGAGTTGGACAATGACCAAGGAGGATAGAAGGAGAACTGATGCCTTTGAGCTGTGGTGCTGGAGAAGAGTACTGAGAATACCATGGACTGCTAGGAAAACAAATAGATTTGTCCTGGAGACGGTTAAACTGGGTGGCTCCTTGGAGGCAAGGATTCTGAGGCTCCGTCTAACTTATTTTGGACATGTAGTGAGGAGAGACCGGTCCTTGGAGAGGGACATCATACTTGGGAGGGTGGAGGGACGGCGCAGGAGAGGAAGGCCCTCTATGAGGTGGATTGATTCAGTGACTGGGATAATTGGGATGGGAGTGTCAGAGACAGTGCGATTGGCACAGGACAGAGCGGAGTTTAGGGCTGTTGTACATAGGGTTGCTATGAGTCGCAGGCGACTCGACGGCACATAACAACAACTCCTAACTTTGAATTTCTGAATGTTTCTGAATGTTTTCGTTGGACTTTCTGAACTTTTAAAGATCCTCTTTTGCTCTGGTTTGTGCTGCTTTCAATGCTCATATCATTTTGCATTTTCATCCCTGTGGTTGACTCTCTCTTGCCTTTTGTCTGGACATCGGCCTTTTCATTTCTTTTTTACCCTTACCTTTTAAACTCCCTTGTGGAAGTGGCTACTTCCATTGCATCCTTTAAACTTGAACAATTTTTGGTCTTGATTTTGGTTCTTTACTCTTAAAAATGTCAGTAGACAATCGACTAGAGACTAAACGGTCAACTTTACACAAAAGAACAGAAAGGAAGGCAAGACAGGCAGGACAAGGAAAGTGGACAGAGGGAAACGGAGTCAACTCAGCCCAGACCCACTGCTGTCAAACTGATGTCAGGGTATAGTGACCCTGCATCCAGTGTCCACAGCTTGAACATGAATAGATGGAGAAGGCCCATCATTCCCCAATGGAGCACACGGGGGGATTCGAGCAGCTATCAATGTAATATGCAGTGCACTACACCCCTGGGCCAGGTGGGATGGGAATGGAAATGTAGGAGTTCTAACCCTTTGAAAGGTAACAACCAATGTTACCACAACTTGTGTATTGGACTATGGAATGGGAATCTAATTTGTGTGTAATCTTTCCATTAAAGCACAACAGAATATGCTTTTTTATTAAAAAAAATGTCAGTAGAGTGCTCGCTTCGGCAGCACATATACTAAAATTGGAACGATACAGAGAAGATTAGCATGGCCCCCTGTGCAAGGATGACACGCAAATTCATGAAGCGTTCCATATTTTTTTTAAATGTCAGTAGCCTACATTTTGATTTATTTTATTGACTTATTTTTATTTCATGAAAAATTTAATTTTTAATTTATTTTTGTAAAAACTTCACCCCTGGTTTATTTTAACCTCCTTTATTTTCATCACTAGGTTAACTTTGGTTTTAACATATTTTAGACATACAAAAGAATTGCAAAAATAGGCTGGGGGGGAGGTCATTTCTCTATTTTCAGTCTTTTGATATTCTTACTTTTTAAAAAAAATTTCTTTCATATATAACTAGGTATTTCTGTCATCTTCAAGAGAAGATGAAGTATTTCAGATTGAAGTATTTCAGATAACAGATGTTGCCCTGGACGTGCTCACCAAGTTGTGCCAAGAAATCTGGAGAACAACCACTTGGCCAA